ATAATTGTTGTAATTTATGTATCATATTACTTTTATATAAACCTTGTATTAATTATTATTTCACTTATACTGAAGATGGCATCATGAGATGTCAAAACATGTCTATTTTAAAAAAAATTGTCGTTTTTATTAAATGCGTAATTTAGTATTCTTTTAAATTTGTTTCTGTAAAATTTGCGCATGCCCCATATGGAAAACAACTTGCATGTTGACAATGGTTCGCGTGTTGAAATAAATTATTCATTCATTAATTCATTCTACTGTAATGTCTTAAAAACCCCTTCAAAATAATAACTAAAGCTTCCCACAATTAACCTCTTGGCTCCAGCAACCCTGCCAAAATACCATAAATTATATATTATAGATAACCTTTAGAAATGGTAATTCTGTAATTATAGACCAATCAAACAAAGTTACCAATCAAAACAACAACACTTTGCTTACCAAAGACAAATCACTGTCATTTGAAGCAAGGTATGTTTATCTTTGTAAAATATGTGTGTTATTTCTATAACTTTGTCGTGATATTAAATGACATTTATAAGGCACTAGTTGTTTTGGAAATATGGAAATTTTCTTCATTAAATTGATTTATATCTGCAATAAACTAGTATCACTTATTGTATTTAAGTTCCAGTTTTTTTAAGCAGCTAAATAATTTTGCAAATGTTTGTTGTAAATTGCAAATGTGTTTTGTTTCTCTTGTTTTAGATGTATGAAAAAATATGTATTTGAAATTTAAAGTACTTTTTAAACAACTCTATCGGTAAAAGTTTAGTTTCAAAATATTCTTTTAAAATTTTCAACCCACAAAATTATTGATATTGTATTTTAAATCTATTATTAGGTGCTATATAATGTGTTCTGTCATAACCTAGATCCGCCTCTATTTCGTGAAAAAATTTGTAAAATGTTTTTGTTGTTAATGTAACATGTTTTCTTATTTAATTTAGGTCCATAAAAACCATGTTTTATGCTGCAAACCCTTTATCTGACATCATTGAGAAATGGCAAACTTGTGATTCAAATATGGACAACTTTGTGTAAAGTTAAAGGTACCATACACTTGCCTTTCATATCTGTGCATGCAAAGAAAAAAAGAAATTCTGTCTGACAAAGTAAACATTTTCGATCATTTTATTTTGATACATTTACTCGAATGTACATCACATCACAATCATTACTAACTCATAACCTTCTCCCCTTGACCCAAAGAAAAACGACGATTTTTTTGAGAGCAAACATGTTTCGGCATTATCAGAATGCCATCTTCAGTGCAGAATGATTAGTGTTAAGTAATATGATACATGCTTCAGTAGTTTTTCTATCTACACATGCTTCAGTAGTTTCTCTATCTACACATGCTTCAGTAGTTGATCTATCTACACATGCTTCAGTAGTTTTTCTATCTACACATGTTTCAGTAGCTTTTCTATCTACACATGCTTCAGTAGTTTTTCTATCTACACATGCTTCAGTACATCATCCTTTACACTGACCATTCCTTCCATTTATCTATCTTCAGAAATTTTGTCCATTCGTTAGGTTGCAAACCTCTGATTCCATACTTCCAAATTTGGACATTCTTTTGCAGCATACACCTTCTCTGTTTGAGTGACCTTGACTACAGTACCGACCTCGAGTAACATAACTTGACTCGCGAGTATCGAATGGCGAGTGAGTGACTGACTCGCGAGTCAATTGCGAGTGACTCGCGAGTCAATTGCGAGTCACTCGAGAGTGACCAGTTGCGATTGAGCGAGTGACTCGCTATGCAGTTGCGAGGCACTCTTGAGTGTAAAAAAGTTTGCGAGTGATGAAAATAACTCGCTGTTTGCGAGTGGATAAATTAATTCCCTGTTTGCGAGTGAATCGAAATAACTCGCAACAAGTTCTTTCTCCAGTATTTGAAATTGACAAACATAATCTTAAGTGTAGTGACAAGTAAAATTCGTTGAACATTTTGAAGGCAACAGTTTTATATATTTTTATGAAACATGGAAGCAAAACGACTATTCATTTGAAGCAATATCTCGGGACCATATGACGATGAAATCTTTTGAATTTTTTTACAAAAGCATTTTACTAACTTCACATTTTTCATGGCACAAACGTTATTCGTAAATCGGTAGAGACTATAGAGAAATGTAAAGTAAATGGCACGCAATCAACAAGTAAATCGAAATAGCGCTTAAACATTTTCGCGTATTCAGTTTGAGCATATCATTGGGGTGACTCACAAACATTCTTCTCTCTATATATATAGCATTTTGAAAACGGAAAAGCTTTTCTAAAAGCTCAGAAACGATTTATGACGTAGCTCTTTGACATGCAGGTGCGACTTTTGATTATTTTTATGTTAACAATTACAATTGTAAATGCAATAAAATTACGATTAAAATGCTAAAGTTTTTAAGAGTATTTAATATACTCATCTTAAAAAGTTTAGCATAACCGAAAAGTAATATTCAACAACTGATTTTACGTAAATGATTCCCAAAAAATACTATTTTATCAACATAAATTAAAAACTTTCGTTTCAAGTAAAATTTATCAAAGATACCTAAGATTATTAATTTAGTAGTTTATGTTCTTCTAAAAATTGATGAAAAGTTTCTACGATTACCATTCAATCCTCGTAGCCGAAGATAAAAACGATAATGTGTTACAGCATGTTGCAAAACAAATACATTTACTAAGTTATGTTTGAATGAACGCATTATAGACTATGGTTGGCATTACCATAAGCGTTTCATGGTATATTCAAGAAAAGGCTATCAGCTAGAATATTATATCATATTCTTAGAAACAGTCTAAAGATATAAGACGTCAAAAAATGACGATCTAAGATTATAGAAATCTAAATTCCTATATCTGTCTTTTGGAAAGTCACGTGAACTGTCCAGTAAAGTACTTAATTTCAATATTGTTGATACATCAATTTTTTGCAGATAGAATCAAGAGAAAAAGAAACCTATTTTACATTAGGCAAATAAGTAATGTTGTTCAAAAGGAACTTGCTTTGTTTTTCATCAAACAATGGAACTCTCTTTACAAATCATCTCATGGAGAATGGGATGATACACCCAAAAGTGGCAACAAATTTTACAATTTCGAATCAGGAAGAAAATTAGACCAAAAAACACGTCAAAAATATCAGGATGGAGACACCAGTAAGTGGGAGTGTACGATATTATTTGATGGTATACTTTTTTCAAAATCAATTGGAAAGCATCTTGACAAAAAAAACAAAAGATGCTGTTGACGCACTTCGTGTTCAAAGAAACAAAGACGTACATTGGTATGAAGGGGAATGCTCAGATGATGATTTTGATAATTTTGATAAAATAGTCAATATCATTGAAAAATCATTTAAAGATTTGAAATTTTCGTTCGATGAAATCATTGAAATAAAAAATCATCGAAACTGTTTTAATTCGTTCCAAGTTCTCCCTTCAAAACCTAATCATTTTTTCGTTGAACGCACTGAATTACGAGATAAAATTAAAAAAGATCTTGAAAAATTAAGGAATGATAACAATGATAAACTGACATATTTTTACATCACTGGTAATCCTGGCAGTGGTAAATCACAACTTGCAAGACAGGTTTGTGAAAAAATATCGTGTGATTGGAAAAATAAAACTTCGTTTGTAATGACTCTCGATGGAAAAAATGAGGAATCTCTTTTAAAAACGTACTGTGAACTTGGATACCGTTTAAACTGTGACAAGTACATGATTAAAAATTTCAAAGATGAAAATTGTTCTATCACAGACAAAGTGAGGAATTTGCCATCTTTAGTATCCACACGATTGAAATTCTGGCGAATTTGGTTGATCATTGTAGACAACGTGGTACAGCTCAGCAAAATTTCTTCGTTACTTCCCCAAGTTTGTGATCCCATGTGGATAAATGGACAAATCATAGTAACTATCCAGAACACAGATGCCGTACCTCAAGACGATGAGTTTAACAAACTTATTTCTATCAGAAGTGGAATGAATGATATGGAATGTTTTCAAATGTTGAAGCATTACACTATTGAACATGATGATGATAATATGTTAAATAAAGTATTGCACGCATTAGATCGTCAACCGTTGGCTTTAGCTGCTGCTGGTTATTATGTCAGTCGTGTAAACAAAGCAAACTGCTCATTTACTTGGAGTCAATATTTAAAGAAATTATCTTTAGGAGAACAAGAAAACATGGACGCCACTTTTGTTAAATTTAACTCGGTATATCCTAGAAGTATGTTACAAGCTTCACTTTTAGCTGTCAGACAAAATGCTGAAGAATCCTCCATATTGGCAAATGTTATTAACTTTTTTTCCATGATCTCGTTTGATCCTATACCACGAGACATTATTATTTGTTATGTTCAAAAAATCGATCCCAAACACTCAAAGGAAGATATATGTCTTTATTTAGATGAATGCTCTTTGTTCTTGCATTCAGAAAATAATGACATTAGTCTACATCGCATTGTTCACAAAGCAATTATTGTTTATCATTCTGAACATTCAAATGAAGAACATGAAATGGAAACTAACGTTGATCAAATAGCTCAAGCACTTTACGTGTTTAAAGAGAGAGACGACGAAAGCAAATTAATGCCTCATCTTGAAATAATTCTTCAATTATTAAAGACCAGCAAGACAAAAATCAACATGAATACTTTACAAGTTTTCCAATATTTTGTTGACAGATTGAGACATTTCGGAAAATACGAACTTGCTCTTGAACTATTGGATAAATTTTAATCAGAAGAATCTAGTTATGGCAAAGCCTGGTATTTTAATATCCTCAGTCTTTTATACCATGACACGGGGAAGTTTAGCAAAGATAAAACTTATCATGAAAAAGCTCTGGAAATTCAAAAACAATCGTTATTTCCAAATCATTTTGATGTCGCCGCGTCTTTAAACAATCTTGGTAATGTCTATTCTACTTTTGAAAACCACGACAAAGCTATAGAATTTTACGAAAAAGCTCTGGAAATTCAAAAACAATCGTTAGGTCCAAATCATGTTGATATCGCTGCGTCTTTAAACAATCTTGGTGTTGTGTATCATAAAACTGGAAAGTACAACGAAGCTATAGAGTTTTACGGAAAAGCTCTGGAAATTAAAAAGCAATCGTTAGGTCCAAATCATGTTGATGTTGCTGGGTCCTTAAACAATCTTGGTGCTGTGTATTCTAAAACTCGAAAGTACGACAAAGCTATAGAGTTTTACGATAAAGCTCTGGAAATTCAAAAACAATCGTTAGGTCCAAATCATGTTGATGTTTCTGGGTGCTTAAACAATCTTGGTATTGTGTTTTATGAAAGTGGAAACTACGACAAAGCTATAGAGCTTCACGAAAAAGCTCTGGAAATTCGAGAACAGTCGTTAGATCCAAATCATGTTCATGTTGCCATATATTTCATTAATCTTGGTAATGTGTTTGATAAAACTGGAAACTACGACAAAGCTATAGAATTTTACAAAAAAGCTAAGGAAATTCGCAAAAAAACGTTCGGAACTAGTCAGGTTGATGTCGCTAAGTCTTTTGGACAATCTAGGTGTGATGTATGATAAAACTTAGGAAGATGACAAAGCTTTACATTTACACTTGGAAGCTCCTTGTTTCAAAGAAAATTGTGCCTTCTAATTATGTTAAGCCTATTTTAAACACATAGACCGTAGGAGCAAGGCTTCCACCTGCCAATTAGCTTAAGTCAACTCGCCTCTCCCTCAGAAGTTTTTGGTACTGAACAAAACGTTTGCAGTTTGTGTTTTGTGAGGTAAAATTAACCTTAAGATGTAATGGTCATTGTCTATGTATAGTTTCTCTGATATTTGGTCAATAAACTTACTCTACAGCCCAGGAATCGTCGTAAGTTGAACTTAGAACTGACCATTCCCTGAATCTGACATTCTCCTTTAGACTTTATTTATAAAATAATTTGTTTTTATGTTATAACCAAGTAGCAATTTTTATTGTATGATTCACAAACTTACTGAAGTATATTGGGATGACAGAATTTTATGACATAAATTTTGTTAAATAAATACTATCCTGTTAGTTTTTCATATTTTTGAATTATTCATTAATTTCTTACCAAGCTCCATAAGCCTATGACCATATTCCAGGTTCCTATAATTTCCAAGGGATACACCTTTCATACCATGCATACCACCCCACCAAGCTGCAGCCAATATTCCTGTACTGACACTATCTCCACCATGAAACATAGAACAAGAACACAATTGAAACCAGGAATTTTTTGCCATCATCAAAGCATAGTAAGCAATTATTGGTGCATCATGACAACTGGACCCACCACAAACTGCATAACATACAGATTTATAAAAAGCATTACGTTCAGGTATGTTATATGTCACTGGAAAATTTGGTTCACTTTTTCCATTAATTAATCCCCTTAGTTCTAGATTTTATTGCCTTCTTTTTGATAAAAAAAACTGAAAAGTCCTACTTGAACCAACTTTTTGCAAACATCTTTTAAAGCATAGGCTGTAAATTAAGGTGCAGTAATAGCCCCTAGACAAACTAACGACAAAATCATTATCTTTAAAAGTTGTTCATTTCACATCTCTCACATTATGATGAGCCATTTACATAATAGCAACATTATGACACAGATTATGACAGCTGTAGTGTAGAGACAAAAGGAAGGAGAACAATGGAAAAAACAAGCTTTGCAAATGTTTATGTAAACCGAGGATAGGGTTTATGCAAACCGAGGATATATTTCCTGGAACTTGAAAGCAGGTGAGTACAAATTTAAGACTGAAGGTCAAAAATCTTTTTCTCTTTTATAAAATAACCAGTGCAAAGCAGATATTTGTTGTTTTTCAGGTAAAATGTAAAGCTCCCTATTGGCGAGTGGTATAAGCTCAACAATTGACATAACTGCGACAGATATGCGAAACAAGGAAATTGAATTCATTAGGACATATTTCAATAGTGTTGGACAACAAGAGCATTATTTGCAGGCAGAATATGAAGGAGGTGCTGAAAGTTTGGAGAGGATCTTAGAATCTTACGCTTTGTTATCGTCGACATCATTCGTTTTTTCACAAACGCACAACAAACGCAAAGACCGCAAACGCTTTTCAACTAATGGTAAGGAAACAGTGCATAGCATCAAAAAGTACGGCACTGCAAAAATACAATATGTAATGGAAAAAAGTGTTAATTGGAGTTTACTTTACAAATTCTAATTTACGCTAATTATTACAAAAGTACCAACGGACCTAAGCATCATCTCTACATGTTTTTATAGCTCCACCCGTTTTCGAAGATAATAAAGGCAATGCACCAATTGCGATTTTCGGAAATCCATAGAAAGCACAGAAACTAGGCACTGCATACATGGATCAGAAAAGGTCAGATTTCAAACGCTGTATTACAACGAAATAGATTAAACAGTTATCACATTCTTAATCAACAGGTTAAGCAAAATGACCATTTTTAGGACTCGTGAAGAGGAACAAATAAACAAAAAAATCTGCTGAGCACAATCACGCCACCAAAACATATCAAAAATTGCAGAACAGTAAAAAATTTGGCTGCCCAGCAACAATCCAGATTCGTGAAATAAAAGTTTTTAAGGACTACTATTTTGACAAAACTCTTATCCAACAGCGAACAGCTTGAAAAGAGCGAAAAACTGTTTTAGATAAACTAAGAGCAGACATTTCTAAGACTCCAAACAATATGAACACCTCATCAAAGTGCTACGTGACCCTCACCAGAATCATGTAGTTGGAAGTTCTGTCAAAATCAGCAACAACGTTGACAAACGAGTAATAAATAAAATTCACGAGCTTGTCAGTAAGAACGTTACTCAACCCAACGAGATAAAACGGTGCCTGGACGAATATGTAGAAAAAAAGCTTTCCCAAAATTTACCATCCAACGAACGACCTGGTGCAAACTGCAGAAAATGTTATCCGACGAAGCAAGATTTGCACAATCACATTTCTAGTGCTGCCATTGCTGTCAATAAATGCAGTAAAGATGACCAACAATCTCTAAAACACAAAGTTGACGCCTGGAAAACAAATAAAAAATGCAATATTTTTTACAAACAAACGGAAGAAGTAACGGCAAATAATAGTTGGCAGGCAAAAAAGCAAACATTTCTATTTGTTCACCAAGAACGCTGGCAACAAATGCTATTGAAAATATATGGATCCGAATTGCCTCTGATGGATGTGACGTACAAAACCACAAAATACGCGTTGCCATTATTTTTTATTTGCGTTCATACTAATGTTGGGTATATAGTTGTGGCTGAATTCATTTGTCAGAATGAGGACAGCGAATCTATCTGTGAAGCATTAGATGTAGTCCAGAGCTGGAACATATGGTGGCGACCATCTTACTTCATGGTAGACTTTTCAACGGCAGAAAGAAACGCCTTAGTAAAGCTGTTTCCAGACGCGCATGTTTATATATGTGACTTTCACCGCATTCAGGCTTGGCAAAGATGGGCGCGGTTGGCCAAAAACGGTCTCAGCTCGTCAGAACAGCAAGAATTTCTCCACCTTTTACAGCAAGTGGCAAGATCAACACATCAAAATCAATTCGACGATGCATTGGAAGCTCTTCGAAGCTCATCAGCTTATGAGAAAGCCCATATCTAAAGCTACGTTGAAAACACATGGATGACTTGCAAAGAACGGTGGGCTCAAATTTTCAGAAAACAACAAGATGTTAATATAGTGAACACCAACAACGGCGTCGAATCGCAAAACAGGCACTTTAAGTAAAATTATCTTCCAAGAGCTATCGACAAGTCAATATATGGTTCAGTTATAATGATGATAGAGTCATTTCTTCCAGACTCTTATCAGCACTACAAAGACACCAACTTCAAACAAAGCAGCCAATACAGAAAGTGCAACAAGAATGTTCCATACTATTTGCATAATCATCCAAACCACTTTATCAAGCACTTTATGAAAAGTTCATTCGCATCGCGCCAATTTCGCGATAACGATGTTGATTGCATTGACAATAGCAGCGGTCATTTCTGCGTTAGGTGCTCATCAGACAAAACTAAATGGTATAAAATCAATCTCAGTGTTCCAAAGTATAGCTGTGATCCGTGGAGAAAAACGCAATTTCCCTGTAAACACATGTACGCAATTTTCAATACCTTTGAAGAATGGAATTTCACAGCCCTCCCGCAACACTATAAAAAAAGCATTTTTAATAACATTGGACAATGGCTTGAATCTAGAAGAAAATGAAAAAAAGAGAAAACACGAGGAGACTCATAATGAAAACAAGAACAACGCAGAGATTGCAGAGCATACTTATGACGTAATAGTGCAAGAGGATGAAAGAAGACGTGAAACAAACTAAAACAAAATTAAGACAGAAAAATCTTGCGAACTAAAGGAAACTGCACATACGCGAAATTTATTGCTGGAGAAGTTGAGTCTTGTTCGAAATCAGGCATTCATCGTCAACGAGCTTTAGCTATCTTTGCAAGAAGCGCTTGACTACGCAAATAAAATGCACGAAATCTTAAATCGAAATTTCCCAGTCAGTGAAGGTTTGCCAATTAGAAATAGTCCAACAAAAAAGCATTTGAAATCAACAAATGTGGAGTATCATCAAGTAATTCATAAAAAATTGCCTCTTCGTTGCAAAAAGAAGCATGTTAATAACTATATCACAACAATGATCCCAGACATAAGTCAAAAGTGCGCTGTATCATCAAACAAGGTGAGATAATTCTCATTTTGGCAACCTCGACTGACGAAATCTTTTTTACAAATTATAATTTTTACACACAATTTACGTCCCAGAATGCACTTAAAGAGCCAGTTGAGCAAGAATTGTTGTATGAGAGTGAAACAGCGCAAATCCAGGCATCACAAGAAAGCATTGAAGTACCGCCAATCAACAACTTGGAACAACAATAAAGGTCAGTGATTCATTGCAAAACGAGCTGAAATTGTGAATGTATTATGATGTACTTTGTTTTTAAATAATATAGCACCTACACTGATACTGGCAAACAGTCGACATACAATTCATTGTTTCTGACTCCAAGGCAAGGAATAAGTGCACTTACAGAAAGACAGTGTCTTGGAGATATTGGGATGGAATTTGGTCCTGTGAATGTATCAACAGTAGATCTTTGGTCTTGTAAGTCCAAACGATATAACTGAAAAAGAAATAAAAATTATTGAAAAAGAAGTCACCACATTTAAACTTGGTTGGCTGACTGACTCTGTAAGAGAAAAAAACGTCTAATATAGTCTTCTTATTTATCATTATAAGTAATTGTTTATAACCATGAGTGCAATGTACACATAAAACTGGAGAGGAAATCTCTTCAAACTATGCTTTCTTTTGATTTTAGATAATAGAGGCTATTATTGGAGTTTGACTGAAAACTACACTACTGTTCTTGCAGCAGAATCATTTATTTCACAGATTGTTAAAAACAACTCAAGCATAAGACGCACATGAGCTAATAGATCTTTTCACCAAACCAAAATTATCCTTTTTCCAATCAACATCCATGGCAATCACTTGACACTACTGGTAA